ATGAATCTAGATCATTTCTAACCATATTATGATCATGTGAAGCTCATCGCGAGTGAGCTGGCCGATCGTCTATTCTAGCTGAATATTGAACGTTCCATCATGTAACCCTAGGACTGACCATTGACACGAATTGTAAGCAACGAGATTGAGACTAGGATTTCTGTAGATCTAGAAAGGCATGCTTGCTAATCATTCCTCGACCATCAAGCGTTACTTTGGACTGCTGCAGAATACGAGTAGTTACCCCGCCCTGTGAGCTTTACATCGCAATAATAATACGACATGTAGTCTGTGGACATTGAGCACCTAGCTCTGCTTCGTGATGCTGACATATCAAAACGTATCCTCAAATGACGTAGTGTCAACCCCGAGACGCCGAGCCCCCGCTCGAGCGCGAGAGGAGAATATCAGGTATCATAGCTCATGAGCAGTCAAATAACAAACTTCAGATAAAGATTACATTTTGATTTGTCCCCGGAAGACGAATATAGCTTAATGATCTGCAGGGTCATATGCCGGCTTATTCATGCATCCACCACGCACGGGGTCTAGATGCGTTGATCTATGTCATCAATTTCGTAACATCTCGTTCGTCAGTGCTTCAGAGACAGGATATATTAGGCCCAGTGTGTCTGGGCTCAAGGAGACTGTCGACTTCTGCTGAAGGACGTGGAATACTAGTTTCCTCACTGTCTGATACACGAGCGAGCTTTTCGGCTGCTGCGTTTAAACGTACATTTCCGAAATCTTGTCTTACGCGGTACCCTTTTCCTTCAACGAACATACCTGGTCCGAGTGTCAGTCGCCACAGCTCAACGATGGCTACGGCAAAGAAGATTCAGTTGTCGACGGCCAACTCGGGCATTTTCAGCGTGGAATTGAGGGAGGACTCTGCGCGCGCAGCAAGTGAGGTGCTGCAAGATGATCTCGAGAAGCACCATGTATTCTTCAACGAGAGCGGGTTTCATAGTGAGTCCGCGGACTAAGATTCTGGTACCTTCGGATCAACTGAAGTCTTACATTGCCTTTACTGCCGCACAGATCATATTGTCCATCATATCCTGACAATCTATGCACTTGGTGCGACGCCGGATGAGATCAGGGCTGCTTATGGTCGGAATAAGACGTATCAGCGCCCTGTCATGCCGACCACCCAGAGTGTAGTCGAGTCGATGCATGACAAAAGCCAATTCCAGCAGCATCTCGGCAAGGAAGAGAGTTATCCCAATTACTTGGCTTTCTTTCAGCAGGAGATTGAGAAGAAAGGTGTGGCGGATGTGCTTAACGAGTATCTGTTTTCGGGGAGCGAGTGTGCCGAGTCTATGCTTGCGCGGCTCTTTGGTGGTGAGTGGACATGCAGTCGTTCAAGTTATTCTTCGAATTGACACAGATGTTAGGATTCCTTCATCCGCTGATCCACCTTGGGTTCGGGCTTGAGTTCGACCAGCCCGCCATTGTCGCAGAGGGTCTCGCACAGACCGCAGTCCATGAGGACTGGATCGGTCGGTTATACCTCCTGCCGGTAGAGAAGGCCGCAGGAGGGATTGGCAAGCCGGGAAAGAAAACGATGCTGCAAATCTTGAACGAGATCCGCGCTGATAAAAACCTAGCTGAATCCGTCAAATGGGAAGATGGGAACAAAATCAGAGACGGCGTTATGAAGCGAGCACCAGATCAGATGATTCAGTATGCAGCACAATTCTCGGTCTCCGCCGAGCAAATGGAGGAGAAACTTGCTGAACTTCTCAATCTAGTCGGTAAGCATCGCCGAGCGTTCAAGAGCTCATACCCGGTGCTATAATGAGCTTCCAGATCAATGGTGGCTAACTATCTGTACAGCTTACTTTACAGGTGCCGCTCAGCGTCCGCCTAAGCAGGTTAAGCTTGACTTCTTTTTGATGCACTGCGTGACTTCTTCGATATTCCTTTCCAAGATTGTCACTCTGCCATACCTGGATACGCGCACCAAGCTGCGTGTGCTTGAGTGGAAAGGCCGCGCAGATCTGGCGTTCTACGTATCCCGGCGAGTTCCCAAGCTCCTGCTGGAGGAAGTGACAACATACGAAGCTCCGAAGGACTGGAAGACAATCTTCCATGTGAGCAGTGTACACCCGCGCGACGACGGTCATTTGTCCAAGCTTCTCAGGGCTCTAGCAAACGGCGAGAAGGTCTGTCGTCCGTTTGAGGCTCGAGCAGAAGAGCTGGGACTTTTGGTCACTGGTGACATGTGGCTGAAGATTGCAAACATGGGTAAGCGAGACCCGTGGATGAGCTGTACTCTTAGGACCATGTTTCAGAGCTTCGCTGATTTACCATCTTCGCAATAGCTATCGATTCAACCCAAGGTGATCAAATGGACACAATGTGGATTCGCTCGGCAGGGTTTGAAGAGGCATGGAAGAATTTCCACGATCGACCTCGCCTATGAGATGGCAGGCTCATAGAAACCTGAGTGTTCCGAAGCTAAATCAATCCATTAAGGCAGATACATGCCCCAATTGACAGAAGGCTCACATACTGATAAGGAGGCTCCGGTCCTGCAATTCAACTGTCATTCCATGTCACAACAGCGACTCAATTCAAGATAATTTGTTTGATTTACCAAGTACTCTGCAACCTTGGAGGTTGAAGTATGGTTTGAGCGATTCGTTAGTCTAGCGTTTAGCTCTAAATCAAGGCGGGTGGGTCTGCCTAGTAAAGCTGCAAGAATAAATGTCTTACCCGATTCCCAACAGACCAACAGGCAGTCGAATCTCCGAGCATTTTCTTACCAGCGTCAAGCTTTTTATACCATCTTAGACGAGATACTAGGTAGTTAGTCTACTTTTATTTTTTTTTGGAGAGTCAAGTAATTCCGTCATTTCATATCGTTTTCACAGTAAATGTGCTCGATCGAAAGACGCAGAAAGAAACCGAAAGTTTGCTGTGTTTTGCGTGACATCACGTGGTGATTACGATTGGAGGACAAGTGGGGCGATCCCCAACAGCTTCGGCCGCTTTAGAAGGCATCCTACAGTTGATAAGCCGTCATTTTCGCATCACTACACGTTCAACGGCAGTTTGAACTACGTACGCGAAATATCGAATCGTCAACACCATGGCAGGCGAGGAAGAAGATCTCAACAGGAAGAACAACCCTTCTCCATCCACCGAAATAGTCCACGACCACAATCCGTTCGTTGCATTCCGGCGTTATGCTGATGAACAGATCTCGTCCATGCTGCAGTCTGTAATGGGCCTTCCATCTTCGATCTCCGCTCCTCATTCAAATCATTGGGCTATCTTCGCCGAAGAGAACAATTATAGAGAGCCCAACTACCGCCAGCGACAGACTGACGATGGCAAGGAAGGGGGTTATCCCTCGAGCTCCGGGACGGGCGCATCTGGAAATACAGACGACATAGGTCAGGATGACAAGCCACCTGCAAGTTCTCGATGGCCGCGGTCTGATGATCCTTGGCATTCGAATCACCATGGACGACTTGATAGACCCTCCGATTTCTTCAGCCTTGACTCCTTCTTCGACTCTTTCTTCGATCGATTCTGGTTCGATGATCACTTCTCCTCCCGCTTCTTTCATCCCTTCCATCAACCATTCTTCTTTAACATGCTGAACGACGACTCCGCAACTTGGCCCCTGGCATACTTGATGCTCAGTCCGTACTCACCACTGCATCTGGAGCGTCAGGCATCCTATCGAGCACACAGAGAGGGAGGGGTATTCTCTTCACTCATGTCGTCATTGAAGCCTTCTTCTGCACGCGACCCTGCCGAGCCGCAGTGGCGTGAGGCCTTTGAGGATCTTCTTCGACTCGAAAACGGAAAACCGATGCTGGATCGCGAACCTAGTACGACATTGGTCAAGAAGGAATCCGGGACCGAGTGGCTGAAGGGCCTCGTGCAACGCGGCAGCCTTGGCGATCGGTGGAAGTATGTTTCAGGACCGGAAGGCCAGGGTTGGTCAGGGATAACTCTCGAGAGCGTCGAGCCGACAGACAAGGATCGCTCTCGACCCGATGAAAGTCCCACACAGCAAGCACAGACTGAGGCTAGTTGGAATGATACAAAGTCCGCACCCAAGACCGAACTAGACATGTACGACCAATTTCTTGCCGATATCGAAGAGCGCGAGCGCGATTTCTTTAAAGGAGTTTATGAAAGTCCACTTTTGCGGTCTTTGTTGGAGGAGAGACGAAGGCTGAAGGAAGAAATCGAGCCGTTTGAGAAAGAGGGCCCGAGCAAAGACACCGATTCTTGGATAGATCTCGTTTCTGATGGCGACAAGGACACCGTTCCTGAGCCTTCCCCCCAGTCAACCTTGGGTGCATCGACCACTGGCGAGACACGTCCAACGGGCTCAGCCACAGAGCAACAGCCGTACGTAGTTTCCACCCGGACGACGACAGAGCGCATTCGCCTCCCCGATGGTTCAATCCAGACCAAGACGGTGAAGACCAAGCGGTTTGCGGATGGCCGGGAAGAAACAAATGAATCCGTTGAAGTCATGAACCCGCCCTCAAAATCTCAAGATTCGGTTGCTGGTCAGGAGGCTCTTGAGAATCAAAAGAAGAGAGGCTGGTTCTGGAGAGACTGAAAATAAGAGCATCATACTACTACTCGCCCCAGCGCGGTTTCATCTCTTTTGTCGTATTCCCTTTCGCATTTGGATTTAGCGTTTGCTGGCGTTTTTTCTTATCCTATCCTTGTCATCCTCTCTCATCTCCTTGGAATTACTGCAATATGCGGAGATTTGAACATATCATACTTCAATTACTATGCTCTGGTGTTGGGGCGCTGTAATAAGTGAATGAAATTGGCCCGATCATTGCATCATATTCAAAAATTTTCTGACAGATAATAAGTGACAGTATATAGCTATATTGAGAAGATCCAGACTGCAAACCAAAATACCTTTATTCTTCGTCTTTGTACATCTGTGACAACACTGTGGACGTTCGCAAATGTCACCGTTATGGATGCAGGTAGGAAGCGTGGCACTATTAATCTGCCTTGACACTCTTCTTCTGTGCCTTGCCAGCAGTCCACCCTCTGGTTTCCCAGTACTTGACACTCTCTTCCATCTTCTTATAGGCCCATGTGAACGGCGGGTCTAGTTGACAGGAGTCAGCTTCAACCCTAGCGGGCAAACACTCAGTCTGGGAGAGTAACTTACACAGAAACTGGCGAAGATCGTGTCTATTATCTTCAGGGGAGTATTGCTCTGCATGGTAGCTGGGCGTCAAGACAGTCATCTTGTGCCGGTTGATAGCGTAGTGGTAAAAAAAGTGACGGGTCTTCTCGTAGATCTCGCGGGGGCTGTACTCGTTTCCCCAGACGTGGAGCAGCTTCTCGTACATTGACCAGGGTCCCAATTTTGCGACCTTGCGCAGGTAGCCGAAGGTGCCTAATTCGGCGTATGTCACGCCCATGTCGGCCTCGTCTGACTGGACGTAAGTGGCTGTGATAGGCTCCAATTCGGCGGTTGGGGTTGCTGTTAAGAATTCGTGCAGAATTGGAAGGTCGAATGAATCGCGAGCCCAGGCGATAAACTTTTTGAGGTCGACCTTGCTAATGGACCCAATAGGATTCAACTATTTCGCGACTTTTTAGTGCTCAAATTCCTGAACAGAAGTTCTCTTGACCGGACTGAGAAATTGTACTCACGTCGGCACTGCTTGCGTCGTATTTGGTCAGGTAGCCACGCAAACTAGACAATGTTAGTCAGGATCAGCTATGGAGAACTCAAATTTGCTCTGGCTGTTACAGCATTGCCGCTCGCACGTACCACTCTAAACAACAGTTAGTGGACCTAGAGTCTCTACTCATGAAGTCAAGAGTATCTCTTACCGTCTACATTGGAAGATGCGAGCACAAGGAGTCCACCTCCACCTGGACGTTGACGAACAGTTGGGAGCAGCGAAGCGAACAAGTACGATAGCACCATTCTCAAACGAGCCTGGACATTCTGTAGCGCCGCATTTTCAGCTCCAGTACCGCCATGAACTTTGAACCGGGGCTGAAAATTCGTGACCACAGTGAATAAGTTCATGATGGCTGTCACAACAGTGTCGAAGTTGAAGTCGATATGATAGGACCCTATCTCGGTGGCGAGCCCCTTGGCCCGCTCTCTTGTTTCTTTACTTGAATTCTGGGTACCCATGAAGCTGGTGTGGAATATGCGGCTAGACCAATGTTAATGTTCTTTATGTTCAAACAAGTCGTAAGAGGCCGATGTCTAAGGAGCAAACTTACTTGCATACTTCCTGGCTCGTACTGGGAAGCCAGGTTGAGCCTTCAGGTTCTGCACACAGCCTACGCACATCTTTGATGACTTGCTGGTTTCCCTCCGAGACTGCCTTGACGACTTCTCTGCACATAGAGTGTACGATAATAGCTGTAGCACAGCTGTCAATACCTCCGCTAAGGGGAAGGAAAAAACCAGCAGCGCCGCTTCTTCGCAGATAGTCCCAAAGCCAACAAGCTGGGCCGAGGGAAATCTCTTCCTCTGGAGCGTGGTACTTGGCTGATATCGGCTCAGATGGGACAAGGCTGGGCTCGGCATCATCGTCCGAACGGGAAAGCCTTACGTCCAGATCAAGCCGAACAAACGGAGGTTGCCTGGTAGCCTGCATGTTGCGGCTAGAGCTAGCGCGATAGGTCCGAACCTGCCTGTCATCAGCACCAGAGACAAAAGTAAGACAGTTGTAGGTGACAGACGTCTTCGATATCAACAGTCGCCGTAACGACCTCCACATCTTTCAGGGAGAATTGTGAACCCTGGGCAACTATATTCCCGTTGATGACAATCATTGCACAGCCATCGTAGTAGAGTCTATCACCATCGCAACCTTGCTGGTTGGCATAGAGGTAGATGCCTCCGCTCTATAACAGTGTGTTAGTTCGTGAACTAGAACGCAAAAGAGCAACACATTCACCAGTTTAGTAGCCTGGGTGATCAGATTCACACGAGTGTCAAGCTTCTTCAGCTCATGATGGCTTCCTGACGAGTTTGAAATAATCTCAACGCCTGGAGGGTTATGTGAGCAAGGGATTGTTTAGCAATAACATATGATGATATTTACCAGCCAGGCCGTATGGAATATGAGGACTTGATTTGAAAATGTCAGTCAACTTGTTCGACAGCGGTATAGGTCAGCACGTACCCATTAGGAGTAAAAAGTTCTTCACAGGTTTCAAGCCCTAAGCACGTGTCCCGTGTGCTGACGACCGCGTCACCAAAAGGCACCTTATATTGGCCGGTGATTTTGCCCACGATCTGCTCCAGGTAATAGTCTTCAATCTCACGAGGGCGCTGCCATGGGGCGAAATGCCTAAGCTCTCGATAGTTCCCATCTGATCTCGCATCACCATAGTTAGTAAAAAGCTGTGCTTATGTGAGGAGAGAAACGACAAGAAGAACAGTATACCATTGGCAAGCCACATCTTCGGGCGAATGAGGATAATCTTTTTGTTGTAAAAGATCACGCTACGCTTGTTAGTTCAGGAATTCCAACAGAGTAGAAACCAACTCACCGGCAATTGTATCGCACGTTCCGATGACGAACCGGCATGCCAACATCAACCACAATGTCTTGACAGTCTGGGTGATCAATGATACGCGCCAGCATCTCCCACGAGTGTAGAAACGTGTCGCCTTCTAGGAAGCCATCGAGAACACCATATCCTGAGAGAATTTAACAACCATTTGGTGAAAGACAAGACGGCGCTCCGTCCGTACCAGTGATCTCGAGCTCCGGACCAACACGTAGAGTAGCCCCGGCCGCTTTGGCTTGCCGAATACTCTCAATGATACGTTCAGCATTTCCTTCAAAATCCAAAGCCCATTGGTTAAGAGAGCTTTGCAGAGCACAAGTTAGCATCAATGCTTCGCAAGAACAGAAATAATCGATCATAAGACAGCGACATACCATGTTGCGAGTGTTACAAGATGCCCCATTGTGACTCAGCTTGTAGCTTTCACGCCACCAGTTGAACTAGCTTCAGTATCGAGAGAGAATGAGACCACAATGGACGCCTATGTTGGAAGTTATATGTCAGTCCAGAAGTACACATAAAGACTCTTTGCCAACCAAGAAAGGCTTGCATAGAACTCCCTGCTCGGAGCTCTGGCAAAGGAGATAGCATCATATTGTGATCAAAACAAGCCAATGCAGCATTTCTAGGCCATCAATGGAGAACGTTTACCTTTTACAAAGACAGTACAGTGCCTGATCAGAGTCAACTCCAGCTAGGTCCACCTTCTCATAAGCAAATGCGTATCAGATAAGAATTATTGGAGACTGCGCGGAAAGTAACCATGACGCAGATCACGTGTGTGGGGAGCTTCCCTAGCTTAGGTACTTTCCTTTGTGCCCCGCGGCTGTTTCTGTATTACCACAAATTGTGAACTTCAAGGCGGAAATACCCCGTTTACGGTAATACTTACGAGATCTTCCGGGATTGCGCCGTGCTCATCCTCGGCCATAACCAGATGATTAATCATCCCTTATCTTTTAGTTAACTATGAGAGACAGCTCAGAAGGAGTGGCGCTAGTGTGATGATATCGGGTTGCCATTTGGATCATATCCTCCTCGATTATTCTCAAGCCTCAGAAAAGCGATTTGTTAATATCCGTCGAGGATTGCAGAGACGAGCGGAATTCCTCCCAGCGACAGCACTATGTCCAAAGATCCCCAGATCCCCGCACCCGCCCATGTACTGGCTGACTCAATGCTCTCGCGGCATTTTGGAAGAGAAACGGTGAACTATTTTTCTAGTGAGGATCCTTTGTGTGGCATAGTTGTTTTTCTTGCTGCATATTCAACTGACACTTATAGGTTCGCCTTTAAACCGTCTCTCATTCTTGCGCTCCGAACATACGTTCCTCTCGGTTGCCCTTAAGCATCCATCTACTCGCTTTGTACTGTTGAAAGATCTTGCGCCTCTCACCAAGAGTCCTTCTGAACTATATTACGCAAAGTATGACGAAGTACGGAAGCTTGTGCCGGAGAACGCCTTCGACAAGTCTGAGGAGGAGATGATCAAGCAGTTTGACTCTCGAAAGACAAATGCTCAGCTCATCTTCCTGGGACTTGATGAAACCAGGAAGCAGGACGCTCTGACTTGGAAAATCTACACTGGAGCTCCTTATTTCGCTTTGGATGTAACGCCGAAAGGTTCGGAGGAACAGCAAGCCCACGCGAAGGACATCATCAGCACTATAGAGGCTAAAGGCCTCAGCTTCTACCAGTCGAGAGTGGTGATGACTTTCTCGGCGGACGAGGGTATGTGAACTACCGACAACGACAACAGTAAGAATCCTACTAATTTGACTTGCAACATCCAGCTGCCATCTATGCGCAGGCCCGTGCGCTGATTGACTGGAACACCCGGAATACATTCTGCGGCACCTGCGGTTACCCTACGCTTTCTGTGAACTCGGGGACGAAACGTGCGTGTCCGCCGACGGATGCTGCTCTCGCAGAACAAGGAAAGCAGCGACCTGAGTGCAACACTCGCACAACATTGTCAAATCTTTCCTTCCCCCGCACTGACCCGACAATCATTGTCGCTGTTCTTTCGGCCGACGCTAAGCGGATTCTCCTCGGCCGCTCCAAGCGCTTCCCGCCGAACTGGTACTCGACCCTGGCTGGTTTTATTGAGCCCGCAGAATCGGTCGAGGACGCTGTTCGGAGAGAAGTGTGGGAGGAAGCTGGTGTCACGCTTTCGCGTGTCGTGATTCATTCATCTCAGCCGTGGCCGTACCCGGCCAATCTTATGATCGGTGCCATTGCTCAGGTCAGCGATCCCGAGCATGAGAAGATTAGTCTGCTGCATGACCCTGAGTTAGAGGATGCAAAGTGGTTCGAAATCGAGGAGGTGGAGGAAGCCTTGAGGATTGGAACGAGTGCGTTGGGAGAGACGGCTGGTCCTGCGTACAAGGGTGGTTTGAGACTTCCTCCTCATACTGCCATAGCCCACCAGCTCATAAGGGCAGCCATCACGGGAGATTACATCACTTCGAAAGAATCGAAGATGTAGTGGATCAGGCGTCTCTTCCCAGGATACAAGTGATTCACGGCTTCTCAGCAAATGCTTTATATATCAGTGCCTTGTCTAGACCGTAATACTTCCATAGACCGTAGCATATGAGGACAGAGCCATAGACCGCGCAATTTAATGACACACATACTTGTCAACAAAATACTTCGATAATAATACCTCACTTCCCGGCTATGATGAGGGCCTGTCATTTGATCGCCATCTCCAAGAAGCCAGCTTCCAGTACGATCATATCTGGACCATTAATCCAAAAAGTCTACTAGTGCCTCATAGATACCGAGGGCCAGACCACGAACCAAATACATCACAAGATTATCAGGACCAAAAGGGTGAATCAGAGATTCGCATATACTGTCCCATCTCTGAGTTCATGTATACTTTCTTTGTCGGACGGCGATCCGACCTCGGCATACCTTCTTCCGTCCCTCAATTCGTGAATTGTTATCCTCCGGTGGGATTTCCTCCGTTTCGAGCCTCTGTTAGAGACAGATGATTCCCCGCGTACTTCTCGAGATGCCGAGTCAACGCTACCCGCGTCACTGTGCGCAACACTACTGACAGGCGTTGCCTCTCTGCTAGCCGTCTGTACCGAGGCCTGAAGTTGGTAATCCGCTACCATGGCAATGCCAACTTCGTGATACCATTGCCGTAGGTCAGTGGCGTATGCACTTTCCTCATCGCCATGTTCGATCGGAGGGCCGGCAACTTGCGCTTCTTTGCTGGCGTTATTGAAAACAGCCCATGCGCTAGTGTCGGCGCTGACAAGCATCATAGAGTGATTGAAGCTTTTGACCTGGAAGTTGCGAAGCAATATGGCGTCGCCTTCTTTGACAGAAGGAAGTGCAAATTTGTAAGGGCGAAAAATTTGTGCATGAACGATAGTGCCTGCCATCGATGGGTCGGTAACCTGGAGTGTCAATGTAAAGTCCTTCTTTCCTGTAGTGGCCCGACTGATTGGAGAAACCTCGGACACAACAGAGATCGTATCTATCAGCGAATTGTAATAGTCGATAAGCGTAGCAAGAGGAGCGAAGTAAGAATATTTGCTTCGCAAACCGGGATGGTGACGATTTATAACCGACGGCATTCTTTCCAATGACTGTGCTGAAACCCTCCAATCATGAACTTCACTTGGGATTTCGTCTCCAACGGAAGACATCGCATACTCTTCATCATGGACAGATACCCCATCAGTCTGCGTCTGCCGTTGCTCTTCGGCCAGAGTCGAACTCATTCGTACATTAGACTCGTTTGCTGACGATACATCAGTCTCTACGGACGTGGTGGATATTTGCAACACAGTTTGCGCTAGAGCATCGGCATTACCATCGTATTGGGTACTGAGACCTTGGGCTACCTCCTGTGTCTGTTCGGGTGTCGGTAGAAAGTCACCAATTGGAATGCGGGAAGGCAGATGATGACTAGGCGCAGTCAATTGTGAAGCATCCGGAGTGACCAGTAGTGGAGCTTGGGGTGAAGGCTCTTGGACAAGAGATGCAAGCTCTGCAGAACTGTCAACGGGTTGGGGGGAGGCAGCGCCATCGGAGAGTGGCTCCATAGTACGCTCATCCTCCAAACGAGGCTTTTCCGGCCCTGGCTCAGCGTGAGCATCGCCCTGTGGACTGTGCCTTTCATTCTCGCCAGTACGTCCTAGTCGATACAACTCAGGATCAATTGCTAAATCCTGACCCCGCGGGCCAGATTCAGAATCGGTGTAAGGTCCTTGTGTAGACTGCGCCACAGAGACCCGAAGATCGGCGATGTCCTGACCCTCTGGGCTTTGCGGTATACCCGAAGTTGCTTGTAGCACCTCGTTACGTGTGTCGGAGATAAACTCGTTTTCAACATCAGCTTCCTGCTGAACTTCGCTCTGCACTGGATCCGGCAAAGCTGAATATTTTTTGGCATCTGCCTGTTCTTCCATTCGCTCTTCTGCGGCGGAGTCCTCCTCTGAAGGCGCATCCTCCATGAGTTCATCTTCGGCATTATCGCGCGCGGCTAGTTCATCCTGCGTAGACTCGTCTTCCGCTTCGTCATCCCCCGTTTGGTCATCTTCAGCCAGCTCATCTTCGGGCCAAACTTCTGCTTCCGAACCGTCAGAGCTTCTGTCATACACCTCGTCCTCTTCAGCTGATGTTGCAGATGACTCTACATAATTACCCTCTGCAGCATATTCGGCCGATGGCGTACGAGTTTGCGTCGGAGCACTGACAACTGCCTCGTCTTCGCTGTCGCTGTCCAAGACAATGACCTCCGGATGAACAACTTTCTCCGGCCTAGCTGCAGAATCTGCACCTGCATATGACTCGGATTCAGATTCCACACGATCATCATAGTAATCCTCGTATGCCTCTTGCTCGTCCTCAGGCTCCGATTCTTCTTCGTCGTCGTCGTCGTCGTCGTCCTCCTCTTCCTCTTCTTCCTCCAATACCTCCACCGGCTCATCTCTACCCTCGATGTCCTCTTCATCGAACGTTCCTTCGTCTTCATAACCACCTTCATGTACGTCTTCGCCGCTCTCCTCTTCAAAATTATGGGGATGAGCCCTTTCCTCAGCAGCCCGTCGTTCTGCAGCCGAGAAGGGCTCAGATCTGGTACCGGACCGATCATCGTCTTCCAACGCTCCATTGGCACCAATCGCAATCTCCTCGACCTCGGAATCTTCATAACGCCTTGTACCATCTTGGTGAAAGTCATTGACTCCGAAGGAATCAGGTGGTCGTTGTTTTCCGTGTTCTTGAATTTCAACATCCTCATATCCATACTCTTCAACTAATTCGTCCTCTTCCTCCTCGGCTGATTCCTCTTCAAATGACTCTTCTTCTAACTCCACTTCTGACTGTTCTTCCAACTCATCTTCGCTGCCTTCATTATTCTCTTCGTCCTGGACTTCT